AAAATGCCCCATCCATTACTTACAGACCTTCATAAGCAGCGTCATGTAGAATTTGCAATGAAATACCAAAGACAAAATTGGAACCAAGTTGTCTTTTCTGATGAGACCACATTTCAAATGTTTTGAAATACACAAAAGGTGTTTTATAAGGCTGGTATACAACCTTCACAGAAACCTATGGTTAAACATCCATACAAAGTTTATGCATGGGATGCATTTTTGGCTAAAGGTCAAGTTGGATTTCTTCTTTTTACTGGAATTATGGATGGGGCATTTTATTGAGAAATTTTAAATGAAAACCTTTTTGAAAATGCAAAATATGTAATGGAAAGGTATTGGGTCTTCCTACAGGACAATGACCCTAAACACATGGCCAAGGAAACTAAAAAAACTTCTTTCTGAACAATGTTCGAAGTTGTTGGATTGGCCATCGAAAAGCCTGGATTTAAATCTGATTGAGAATTTGTAGTCAATTATGAAGGACGTGTGGAAAAAGAGGTCAACAATCTTGTAATTAAAAAAAAAATCAATTACTATAGATGTATTTATTGATGTAATTAAAAAAGAGTAGGAGAGAATCGAGCCTGAAATTCTTCTTAATTTGGTTCGTAGCATGCCAAAACGATTGGAACAAATAATTGAGGGGAATGGCAATAAGCTAAGCTATTGACTCAGCTTAATATTTTTTTTCGTTATATAATGAAATATATAATTTTAAAATTTCATGTATTTTCGAGTTGTTTTCGAAGTATAATAAACAAAAACGTAATTCCGAAAACTTTCGTCGCGAACTGTAAATAAGAAAAAATAAATAAATTCTTATTTAAACATTACAGTATTTAAAGTGCATAACCATTTTCACGTTTCTTCAATTTTCTGACGAAAAATTTTCGTGTCTGAATTAGATGACGCGTTTCAGTTTACTTTGCATTACTTTACAGAAACTTGGTTTTCTTAATACGCAGTAACTGCAAAGTGACTATATAGTAAATATATAGTTACTATCTTACTTAATAGTAGCTTAATCGCAACCTAATAGGCACTATGCAGTTACTGCATAGTAAGGAAACAAATTTTCTGTAAAGTAATAAGTAAATTTAATTGATTATTTTGAAAAAAAAAACTCTATAGTTTAAGCAGTTTAATAATTAATAAAAGAAAATATAAATTAGCAATCAAATAAATCTAAAAAAAAAAAATAAGAAAAGAAATAAAAGTATCGCTCACTTTAATTCCAAGTTCATTAAAAAGAAAAGCTCACTTATTATCGAAGTTTGTTTCAAGTTGCTAAAAAAAGATATGAGTTAGTAGTATAATTAAATAAAAAAGTGCATTAGAACTTTAGAATAAATTCACTCACCAATTCTAAATAAAATCTTAATAACGTGTCTCAGCTTCAAAAACAAATTGTAGAATATATCTTTACAATGAAAAAAAATGATGGTAGTAAATATAAATCATCAGTAAGACAAGCTGATAATACGCGAACTTAGATTAATTTTAGGATGTAAAATTTGTTGAGTACGCCAAATCCGAGACTTTTTTTTTTTGTATACTTTAGGTCATTTAAAAGTGGATCAAATTGTACTTTTTCAAATGTTTCTTACTTCTATCCATATAATTCTTAAAAATGAAATAACATATGCAATTAATTATTAATTCTTTGAAATTGATGTTAATTACTTTACTATGATTTCACAGTGAAAATCATTGATATTCTAAAGTTCCCCGTGAAAATATGGATCACTATTATCACTTTATCGGAAGATGTTCGGAAACTGATCTAACTTTTTTGGTATTTGTATCTCCGCTCCGTTATCAATGCCAAGATTTAAAGTTTTTTATAGGGGAACGATTTTCAAAAGTGTTGGAACGATTAAAAATGATGTCGTCGTCTTACAATCTTTTGCAATTTTTTTTTTTTCGTTTAAAAAAAAAAAAAAAAATCTTTTTTTTAGAATCCGAATTTAATTTAAATGAAATACAAATGTATATAAAATGTCCGAAAGTAATGAAGCTCAAATTCGTTCATCATCAGTAGAAAACGAGAATGAAAATTATTTAGATAATCAAGAAAAGTTTCGTTTTATCGATGAAATACGTCTTCACAATGATAATAGTGTGTATCCTTATCAACAGGATGACAATGAAATTGATCGATTACATTCGCAACATTATCTTCTTCGAATGGTTTGGCAGAATAACTTTTCAGTTCCAATCAAACAACAATTGATAGAAGGTGGAATGCACGTACTTGATATTGGGTTCGTTAAAAATCTATATTACAAATAATTTATTTAAGTCTTTAAAAAAAAAATTCAAACGCATTAAAGCTAAAGATAAATACATATATACATACATATATATTTTATATATTTAAATTCTAATTTTGATAAGAACGGGAAGTGGAATATGGATCCTTGAAATGGCTTCAGAATATCCACTCACAACATTCAAAGGAATCGATGTGAATCAGTTATTTCCAACAGATTGTTCACCAAAGAATTCAGAGTTCATTCAATGTGATGTATTAGAGGGTTTGCCTTTTGAAGATGAAACTTTTGATTTTGTTCACGTTAGGTTTTTGATACCGGCCTTTACGCAAGATCAATGGGAAAATGTACTTTTGCGTGAAACTTTGAGAGTGTGTAAAATTGGAGGTTGGGTTCAATTTATGGAATGGGATCCTAGATGTATAAATGAAGGTCCCAAGATAAAAACATTTACTGATAACATCATGGAATTTATAAAATCAAAGCATGGTAATCCAATGATAACTGAAAGATTAGACGACCAGTTACTTTCTACCAAGAAATTTTCCTCGGTTAAACACGAGCATAAATATTGTCCAACAGGTAGTTGGGGCGGTACATTGGGTAAAATGGTAAAAAAAATTATTTATCAATCATTTTAAAAAAAAAAGTTTAAATAATAACATTTGCACTGTTTTGCTTAGGGACTTAATGATTTTGTGCAAGTTACAAAGGCAGTCAGTTCGCCTTTTAGTAATTTCCTAAACATGTCATTACAAGAATATGAGAAATTCGTTCAAGATTGCGTACAAGAATTTGAAGTATCGAGAACTTATACAAAAACGCATCGTTATTATGGACAAAAAATATCAAATTAAAAATAAATGCGCGTGGAATCAATCTTTTTTTTTTTGCACGTCCTATAAAAACATATTTGTAATAAAAAATCAATAAAAATACAACTGAATACAAACAACATTTTCTATCTATGCGTTTAACTAAATACACAATAATATTATTTATCCCCTCCTTTTTGGCGGTCTTCCTTCATCTTTTCCATTATGTCCATGTTTCCCTCTTGTTCCTCCATGCGTAGCTCCGGCCTGGCCTTGCACAGCTGAAGTTACTGTTGGTGGCACTCTCATATCATTATCTTCACTTTTAACTACCCGTGATGGATATTGATACGGTTGTCCTTCAAATGAACTTTTCATTGAAAAGCAATAAAATTATTAAATAAATGTTCATAAGCAGAATTTTTTTTAGAAAAGAAATTATTCTTACTCCATGGACGGTGCCGGTTCTTCGTCAAAATATGGGTGACGCAAAGCTTCTTCGGCAGTGATACGCATAACTGGATCATACCCTAACATTGCCGCCAGCAGCTCAAAACCTGCATCCGACTTTGATGAACATGTTTGATAAAATTCGTGAAGTCGATTTGGAGATCTAAAATAATAAAAAGGTCGAAAAAAATGTATGTTTTTCAAAAATATATAAATAAAAATTTACTCATTCACTCGAAGCTGCTATACTTACGATCGAAAAGCATTCAAATTATGGTACTCTGGCTGTTGATCAATGGTGGGCCATTGATCCTCTACATTCAAAAAAAAAAAAAAAAAAAAAAAAAAATTCCGATTAGATAACTATCAATCAAATTAAATCAAATTGAAATTTTAACGTACTTGTTGGTTTTCCCAAGACTTCGAAAATCTTTGTCAATTGATTTTTCTGAAAGGGAACGTTCTTTTTATTGTCCATTTTAGCTTCTTCACCTTTGAAAATAGGTCTCAACGTTAAAAGCTCAGCAAAAATGCATCCAATAGCCCATATATCTATTGATTAAAATAAATTAAAACTATTGATTATATAGAATATAAACTAAATATATTCCAAGTTGGGATCTTAACCTATAGCCTTTGTGTAATGTCTTGACCCCAGCAAGAGTTCAGGAGCCCTATACCATATAGTTACAACAACCTTGTCACCATTAAACAACGGCTGTAAAGGACGCTCATAAATTCTTGCTAAACCCAAGTCCCCTAAATTAAAAGTTAATTTTAGAAAAATTTTAAAAAAAGTAGGGGAACATTTTTAAAATTGTAAAATTACCAATTTTCACAACACCATCATTAGTCACCAAAATATTTGCAGGTTTTAAATCCCTATGCAAAACCCAATTTGCATGGAGGTACGCCACCCCATTAAGTAATTGCCATAAAAACGATTTTATGGTAAACTCGGGAATTGGTTTTCTTTCATGTTGGCTATGATGATGAATAATTTGCTAATTTAATTTAATTTGATTTATTTTTAAATGATGATTAATGAAATTTAATTTTATCAACCAAAAGCAATCCAAAGCAAAGATTGAAATTATTAATCACTTATTTACAAGAAAATCATGTTCAGCAAATTCAAACACCATATGAATTGAATTATCTTCTAACAACACTTCTTGTAGTGAAACAATATTCTGATGTCGAAGTTCTCGACATAACTAAATTATTAAAAAATTTTATTAAATAATCAATTGATATTTTTTTAAAAAAAAGATAATATCATGAATTGAAAATACCGATATTTCTCGACATGCAGACTGTGATATTCCAGTATATGTATGAGTATCACCTTCTTTATCTGGCTTGAACTTCTTTATCGCATATACAAGTTCTTTTTCTTCTCCATCAGCGCTACAAAATAAATCAATAAGTAAATAAACAAATAATACTTAATATTTTCTTTTTTTCTTCTTTCTTATTAGATTATTTTTTTTTTAAAAAAAAAAAAATTCTATAATTTTCAAAAATGTTGTAATGATCAAACTTTAATCATAACCTATCAACCTTTTTACAGTCTTTTTTGCCTTGGCTTTATAAACTCTTCCATAAGTACCTGAACTGATAAACCCTAATACTTGGTATTTAGCTTCAACTCGAATCCTTTCAGTTTCTCGTTTTGCTCTAAATTCTGCCAACATAACATAAAAAAAAAAAAAAATGCTGTGCTGATCAATCAGATGAAACAATGTCTATGGGCTGAGAAAATTATCGTAAACAATTCCATCAAAGCACGTGATTTAGTGAGGGACAATTGTTTAACATCCCAAAAGAAAGGGGACCTTTTAATCAATTGTTTAAATGTTACCCATTTGTTGATCTTTACCAATAAAGTGTCCATTGTTTGTTATGATCAGAAAATTGAACTATTTCAGGGTTAAATTAATAAAATATACCTAATTACACGCGATCATATTTCCTAAAATGCTTTGTCATTTCTCTTTTTATAAGCAACGTTTTTTTGTTGATAAATCCTCACCTCATTATTTATAATTTTTTTATATTCATTTTCGTTATCAAATTAGTAATTTAATCAAGACCAGGGAAAAAAAATAACATGCAGGGCTGAATTGTGCATCCAGGTTCCAAAAACGGAAACTCGGGATGAATTACTGACCGATAGGTCCGATATAGATCGATCTTAATTTACTTGGTAGGGTTGCTTATTAATTCAAACAATTATAGGATCTACAGGTTCTTTGAATCAAAAAGGTACGTGAAATTTTATTTATGATAAAAAAAAAACAAATTATTTCAAGGATCTTTTTTTCCCCGGAAGTAACAGGTTGATTAATTTGTTGATAACTCCGATTACTAAACAGATTATAAGAAAAAACGTCATACTTTTTTTTTTTTATTGTTTGAATAAGAATGTCGCACAATATTTTCAATAATTCAATGATCAAATATTTTTATAGTAATAGGAATTCCAAAATTTCTAACTTGAAACAGCAACAACTATTTTTTTTTTTCATTATATCAATAATATTTTATTTCTATATGTATATAAAAAAAAATCCAGAAAGTCAAATGTCATCAAGTGAAGATTATATAGTGCGATCACTCAGATTTAAAAGTATAACCTTTTACCGCTGCAATGATTAAAGTTTGAGAAAAATCTATCTATATGTGTTAAAGAAGGAGCCAATTTTATCCGAGACACAACTCAGGTGGTAAAGATGTTAATGCATTTTATCCAAATTATCCAGTTAAAAAATACTTAGCGATGAGATTAAATGGTTTTTTTTTTCGTTACACCTCATTATATTATTTTCAGCTAAATTCATTTTACAATGAAAGCAAAAATACTTTTATATGTAATTAAACTTTCATTTTTTTAATGTAAGCCTCGTCACGTCAATGCTTTTATTTATTTTGAATAAATACTTGACTTGGTGTTTTATTTTTTTCCTATAGCGTTGATCTTTTTTAATTTAATCTGAGGTTTTCAAAAATAGATTTGATTAAATCATCGTCATTATTAATAAATATTTTTTTTTCCTTTCACGTTGGTTTTTCCTTTTGGGTACGTACCACTGTCAAGTATAAAAAGAACCGCAAATTTCATCTTTCATCATTCCAAAGAAATAATCTTTTCTTTTTCTCCTGTTTTTACTATTTTAAAATAATCATAATAATAATAAATCAAAATAAAAACAAATTGCTCTTGAAACTCTTTCATGATAATAATAAACATGAACAATTTTCATCTATTATTACTCCTCATTGGAGCTTTACTTTTACCGATTAACAATGTTTTGGCCCTTCCACATCCAATGCAAGGTTAAATAACGAATCCAAACTTAAATCTTCCGTTTCTCGTTTTTCGTTATAAATCACTAATGTTTATACCTTGACAAATTATAGCACGACAAGCTCCTGCAACTGGAGATGTTGCAGGCGGAACATGGCAAATCGTTGGAAAGTAAGCAACCTTTTTTGTTTCCCTTTATAAAAAAAAAAGAAACTGTTTAATTTTACTAAAACGCGATTTTTAAATAAACAGTACGGGTGTCAATGCAATGCACATCTTTGTGTCTGCGCCCAACAAGATTATTTTAATTGATAAACGTAATGATTTTTAATATTACCTTCATAATCGTCATGATCTACCCATCAACTCATCACATGAACTTTCAACTTTTCTAGTTGAAAACAACCTAATTAAGCAAGCAAGTGGTCAACCAGCTGTTTCAACGGAATGGAATCTTGATACAAACGAAATTCGCATACTTGACGTCACCTCAGATACCTTTTGCTCTGCGGGCTCTTGGTTAGGAAATGGAACCATGCTCCACACCGGAGGCGATAACGGTAACAATTTCCTTGCAGCTGGACAACAAACTTTACGATTTTACGATCCCGCTGTCGGTAATTGGGTTGAGATGGTCGGATTAATGGGGTCAAAAAGATGGTATCCTACAATGTTATCGTAAGTGATTAAACAAATAACAACAATATTCGTAAATAAATGATTTTGACCCCCCCTTTTTTTTAAACATTTCTTACAATAGTTTAGCGAACGGAAAAGCTTTGATATTGGGAGGATCTACCGGTGGTACGGGTCTTAATAGAGCCGAGATAAACAATCCTACCTATACAATCTGGCCACCAACTGATGGTGTGACACCAGATCCTGAAATTCAATTCCAATTCCTTATTGATACCCTCCCTTATAATCTTTACGTAATGCTTCATTTGGTTCCCAACTCCGAGAATAAGAATCTCATATTCGTACTTGCAAATCAACAAAGCATTTTATACGATTTAGACACCGCTACCATTGTTAAAAACTACCCAAAAATTGCGGTTCAACGTACTTATCCTCAAACTGGAACTTCTTTAATATTACCCTTATATCCGGAAACAAATTATTTAACTGAAGTCATGGTTTGTGGAGGTCAAAAAGAATTTGAAATTCTTTCGGTCGCTGAGGCTTCTTGTGGTAGGATGGATCTAAACGCCGCTGAACCTGTTTGGACAATGGATGATTTTGGTGGTTTGCCTCGTGTTATGCCTGATTCGGTCATATTGGTAAACGGTGAAATCTTATTCTTGAATGGTGCCGGAACTGGTTATGCTGGTTTTCGTAAGGGAAAAAAAACGAATCCTTTATGGGCGAATGATAATCCCACATTTAATCCCGTTCTTTATAATCCAACTACGAAAATATACGCAAAAATGAATCCATCATCCATTGCAAGGATGTACCATTCTGTTGCTACTTTAACTCCTGACGGAAGTGTTTTCGTTGCTGGTAGCAATCCACAGGGTAACGTTGAAACAGAAGTTTTATATCCCACAGAGTACGTATAGCTTAACGTAAAAAAAAAAAAAAATTTTTTTTTTTTTTTTAAATAATCCTAACATTCTTTTATAAAAAAAAAAATAATAAAATTTAGATATCGAGCTGAAATTTACTCTCCACCTTATCTTTTAACCGGCGCATCACGTCCAACGATAGTCACAATTGATGGATATATAGTAAATCAAGGAAGAATACCAATCACATATGGAAATACAGCATCAATAGTTGTTCAATTACCAAAAACTGAAGTTATATCTTTCACAGCTGCCATTATACATCATGGTTTCGTAACACATTCAACACATATGGGACAAAGATATGTTGGCCTAGTGGTTAAAGAAGCATATTCTGATGCTACCACTGCCGATCAATATATTTTAACCATTGAATTACCACCAAATCCCACAATTATCGCACCTGGTCCAAGTTATATATATGTTCTAAATAATAATTTCCCTTGTGTAAAGGGGGTAGAAGTTTTACTAAATTAATAACTACAATTAAATTAAAATGAACAATTTTTAGATCCATTTTTTATATCTTTGTTTATATGTATAATTTTTATATTATATTTATTTTTAACTTAATTAAGTAAAAAGTCATAATAGAATGCAAAAGAATTATTATTCTTTTCTCAAAGTATAAGAATTTTAAGATTAAAAAAAAGAAATACCAATTTGAATAACAAAAATTTACTAATAAATTAATAGATTACAACGTCCACATTTTTTTAATTTATCGTTTCGTCCCTCTTATATCCAACTGTTCTAACAATTTGAGACTTCAAACTTAATAAATTACTAATTTTCTATTGACAAACCCTTTTGTCTTACTAAATCACGTGATTTTCAAATCAGTGATTAATTTTGGTCTGTTCGCTTAGACTTAACAAATGTTTGATAAGGTAAACAAAAATATTTATAATGATTGTTTAATCAACAGAACACACTGATCATCCAGACCAATTATCATAGCGTAATAATTGCATAAATTTTTATTTTAATATTAAATTAAAATTTTTCTAAACATACGTGTCGGGTTAAAGAGTAACCTACCTAATTCTAACCTAGCATTATAATCCTAAACCTATCAAACTAACTTTAACTTCCAAAACTTAATCTTTTAATTTTAATTTTTAACTATCAAAATCTTAAATTTTTAAATCTAAATCTAAATTGATTTTAAATAATCTAATCATTAAATAGTTAATAGTAAACCTTTTTTAATTCTAACTATTACTTAATGTGATTTGTAAAATAATCTGTAAAAGTGTCTTTTTATAAATTAAATTCTTATTTTATCGGTAAATAGAAAACATGTAAGGTATGGTGACTAATGTATGGCGATGCGGTAATACGAAAAGTTGTAGAGTCGGATCAACCTATTGAGTATTGTATGACACGAAAATTATGTTGAGTATGATATAATCGATCATACACTACATCTTATCTTAGTTAATATATACATGTATATATTATTAGCATTTAAGAGATGTGATGTATGATTCATAAATTTCATATTCATACTCAATTGCTTTTATGCGATTTATAATTATAATTTCGTTAGATAATTATATTAAATTAATTTATTTTAATTTTTTAATTTTTTTTTTAATAATATTTAAAAATTTTAAATAATGTTTATCCCTTAAACTGTAGAGGTTCGCAAGCAAATTTGCCTGCTTATTTACTATAAATTCCCTTCTGATTTACTTTTATTAAAATGTTTAAAAAATTTTTTTTTAAAATTAATTTTATAAATATATATAATATTATAATAAATTTTATTTTTTAATTATATAATAAATAATTTAAGGTTACT